TTCCCTCAGTGGCTACTGCTGGGCAACTAAACTTGGTTTTGTCAGTAAAAAAACAAAGGAATGGAGCCCTTTCCAAGGCTTTGTGGGGAACTCATTGGGGCCAGTCCTGACAAGGGTTGCCAACTCCAGATTGGGAAATTCCTGGAGATTTGAGGGATGGAGCCTGGAGAGGGTGAGGTTTGAGGAGGGGTGGGACCTCAGACAGGTACAATGCCATAGACTCCACCCTCCAAACCAGTCATTCCCTCCTGGGGAACCATTGTTGCCAATCTCCAGGTGAGGGCTGGAGATCAATTACAACTGCTTTTCAGGAGGGAGGGGAGAGGAGATGGAAAGCTGAAATCAGAGGGGCAGATAACGACAGGTTGATGGTTGGCTGAATTTATCCTGCTTGTGGGATAAATTCAGCTCCAATAACAAGGAGACATCCAGCCAGAAAGAACAATGACAAGTATACCTACTGGAAGGGGAAAATAAGATGTATCAGAAGAAGAACAGAAGTTACAATGGATGATAAAAGAGCAAATCACAGGATCAAAAAAAGGAAACAAGGAGAAAAGGGCTCAAGACAGAACCTTGAAGTACTCCAGCAGAAATAGGCTTTAAAAAGGCAAAATGACCATTAACAGAAACAGAAGATTAGGTGGAAACCAGGAAAACGGGTCCAAAGAGAAGAATAGTAATAGCACTGAAAGCTGAAAATAAAGTAATAAAAAGAATTGCCGTTATTACTTAGCAAGAGACCACTGAAAATGCAAAAGCAGATTCAGTGAGGCTCCATGAATGAAAACAGAATACTGAAAAGGAGTTAATAATGGATTTGCAGAAGGAAAATTGTGACAATGTCACAATAAGACGTCCAACAACTTTAAAAGGAAAAGATAACAGAGAAAGAATGATAATTAGACAATGAAAGAGGATCAAGAGAAGATTTTTTCAGAATATGAAACAGCAATGTATATAGCAAAAACAGTAAACACTAAAACAGAGTGGGAAGTGCCTTGACTGTATGTTGAAAACAAAACATTTTTTAAAAAATATGCCAGTAAGAACAATGAATAAGAAGACTGGAAGATGATCAAGCATATAAATAGTCAGTTTAAAAGAAGAGAGAACAAGATAATCTAAATGCATAAAAAGGCATAGATCCAGTATAATACCAGTATAATAATTAGAAGACAAAAAGGGAAACACAAGTAGAAGTATTACTCACAAAACTGAACATGGAGAAAAAGATGGGTAGTAAATGGATTAAAAGTAGAACAAATACAGGTAGAATAATAACAAAACAAACTTAATTTCTTTAGAAGAAAACAAAACCAGATGAGAAAAGAACAAAACATAAATATGATATTAACAAGATCAGAGTGCACTCTTCACAGCATGAGGACAGGAGCAAAAAACAACAAAGAAAAAAAGTTAACTGAGGTAGAATACGAAGAGGCTGTTGATAGCACAGAGCTGGATGAGCAAAGAGACTTGAGTACTAATGACAATCAGAGTTGCGGAAGAATCAAAAGGACAAAACAGAATAAAGGCTAGGAGGAGAGTAATGTGTGAAAGAATCAGTATTAACTGACTGATAATCAAAGTAGATATCTTAACTGGAAAAGTTGAGAATAAAAAAGGGTGAAATAGCAAAGAAAGTGATTAGAGGAAGTAAAAGGGACAGCTAATAAAGATAATGGAGAACACACAGAAGAGATCAAGAGTATGGTCAGCTCAATGGATGGGAACATTAACAACAACAGTTTAAATAAATGGAAATCACACATTGAGTAGTTGGGCCAGAGAACAGTCAAAATGAACATTAAAATAACACAGAACAACAGATGAAGAAAAGGTGATGCAAAAAAAGAAAAGCGACATCTCAAATTCAGAGACAAAAAGAGGAGATAAAGGAGTGATAATGTGAAAATGAATAGAAAAGATTAACTGAACAAAATTTCAACAACATAAAACAGTAAGAATATGAGAGAAAAGCACCAGGGTTTGGGTTTTTTTGTAATTGCATGGTATTCTGCAGAACTTCAGCACCAGTGCAGTGCAGTTACACTTCATTCATATATTAAATCTTGTAGTTGACCTAACAGAAAACTCTTAAAACTTAAAATACGAGAGATGTCAAAAAAGTACCACTAGCAGACATTAACAACAGTTCAGTCTTCTTGATGTCTTCTCCATACAATGATCTATAGTTTCTTGAACAGAGTATTACATGGGCAAGGGTCCACGACTGACTCATCCTGCCATGCAAAGTACAAGTTAGTTATCCAAAGTGCTGAATTAATTACTCTAACCTTGCAGATGCTCTTCTAAAAGTGAAATATAGACATCCTAGAAATTACATGTCCAACCCAATCAGAAATCCACAACCAGTTCAAAATACTAGTTTAATCTGGAAATTTACTCTGAACATAACTTTCACAGTAAAGAAAATATATTGGAACTAAGAACAACTGCTAGACTACAAGACAAATAGAGCCTTGCAGTGAGGAAGGGTTGCCCCATATACTTGTAAATCTAGTGTGAACCCTTTAATTTAAGGGGAGGCTGTACCGTCCAAATAAGTAGTAGTAATGATAGTAGAAACAGTTATGGAACAGAAGAACTGTCAACCAGGCTGTCCCAAGGCTACTTGGCAGACCAGACACCCCAGCAGTGTCAATGCAAAGTCAACACATTTTGAGAGTCTTCCAAAATCTCAAGAAAAGTTCTCATATGTTCCACCCATCCCATAGCATGAAAGTGCTTACATTACAGTATTAACCACATGAAAAAACCCTTTGCTGTGCATTCCTTCTATTGTGGTATAAAATATTGTGTAGCATTACTCTGCTTTGAACATATTCATTGAAGATGCACAACATGAGAGCATCAGATTCAGATCACCCTACTCATACAATGCCAAGACAGCAGACATGCCTTCCATTTATAATCAACTGAAGGCAATGAGGTCTGTTAAGGGATATGTTATTTCACTCCAGCCTATTAACTTCTTCAAAGAACTTCTTTTTAGGTTTATTTACATGGCGAGCGGGGGTGGGGGGGAGACTAAGGCCTCAGCATTAAAACAAACACAAATACACAGAATGAAGTTTTAGATGGATTAAATGCAGAGTTCAGTTTATGATCAAAAATAACCCCTGTGAACTCCTTGCAGTTTTACTTTTATCGAAAAGGGACAAAAGCCAACTCCCATATCTTTTACATGTTTATACTGGCAATAACCAGAGCCCAGCTCAAGGCAAGCAAATAGCTACAACAGGTGCAATCCAGTTCCCACTCACCATCCCCATCTCTATTTGGGATGGCAAATTCCAACACTATGGTTGTGACCTGAAGCTACACAGACACAAGCATTCCAGGTCTGAACTCATCCCAACTTCCTGAGGTTATTAATACAACTCCAGAAATTGCCAGCCCCCGCTGAACACAACACCAGATGCCAGGACCTCAGAAAAGCTGTCAAGACTTCCAAGAGTTGAAAGTAGCCCTATCAGGGAGGAAGATTCAAAACAGGATTTGGACAGCAAAGTTAGCAACCTGTCAAACTGCCCTGATTTCTTTTGGGCTACTTTCTGTGGAATATCTAGTTATTCAATAGCCCCACTGAGAGAACCCATGGTCATCACAGGAGTTCATGTCCATCAACAAAAAACATTATAGTTATGTTTTTATTCCAATTATAGCATTTTTCATGTATGTAAAAAATTGGATGCCAGTCTCCAACTAATATTGCATCCCCTTCCTGGGAAGAGTTTCAAAGATTTTTGACAGGTTATTTTTTTGCTTCATTCATTTGTTCATTTTTTCCCCAAAGGATCCTCTTCATCACAAAAGCCCCTTCTTCCTCAAACTCCTCCTTATACAGGCGGAAGGCGGAAAAGGTCTTTTAAATGTCTAAGAACAGCCAGGTGACAAGCTGGAGAACACAAATATTCCTCAATTCATGACAGAGCAGCACAGGAACACACCTCTCCCGTTGAAGGCTCCACACAAAGACATTGTTGTTAATCAGATTATAAAGAGGGTGGCTGCGGGGGGAGGGGGAGATTATGGTAGGTTTATGGAGGCAGGTGAAGGTATTCACACCGGTTGCAAAGGAAGAAAGCCTGGACTCTGTAGCTGGGTCACTTCACCAGCCCTTACTACTAGTAAACTGCGAATGGAGGCGGTGGCGGCGGCTGCTACTGCTGCTGCTTTATTGCGAAGGAGCGTAGAGAAATAAACCGTGAAATGCAAAATGCAGTCTCCCGCGAGCAAACAAGCCGCCCGCAAAACTACACGTATACCCCGCTGTCCTTTTCTCCCCAGAAGACACAACCCCGTCCTTAAGACGCCAGCACCGAGGAATGGTTTTGCTATCAGTTGAAGGGTCTCCTTAGTCGCCCCCCCCCAAAAAAAAAACCTAGGGGAGGAACCCCCTGCAGAACACCACAAGCCGCAAAGCCTTCGACGGGCGAGGAGGGGACCGAGGCACCCGCTACCAGAGCAGGCTTCTTTGCGACTCGCCCTCGATTGTCAGGCGACGAGAGCCCCCGAGAAGACCGCTGGTTCCCTTAGCAAGCACACCACAAATCACCCCCCACGCCTCGGCAAGGTCTCTCCGGAAAGGCTAGCCTGCTAGCAACCCAGCAGCACGTTATTTCTGATCACGATCTGTGGGCTATTTTCCGACCCCAGACGCAGCGCTCTCCCCTCCCACCAACCAGCCGCCGTCCCCGTCTCTCCCTCCAGGCGCCCCCAACCTCCTTCACATTCCACCACCAGCCCTCGCCGCGGGAAGAAGCCGCAACACCCCCCCCCCGCAACGACGAGACCCATTTCTGCAGCAAACCCCAACCTGCAAGGCAGATGCTGGGTCCAAGATCCCGCCACGAGAGAGCAATCCGAAGGGCTGCAGCAGGAGCCGCCTCCTTCAGCGCGCCCAGTCCTTTCTCTGCAGCACGCAGAAAGAGGGACGCTGCGGCTAGCATGCGCCCCGCGAAGCCGCTTACCTGCTAGCCTGGCGTCCTCCAACTTCTCCAGTCGCTTTTCGGGTCCTCCCCCTCCCCTCCCCGGGAGTAGGTTAAGCGGACCCGGTTGCGCAGCCTGCAGCCGCTGATGGGAATGGAAATGGGGGCGGTGGCAGGAGCAGCAGCGGCAGCGACCGAAGGAGGAGGAGTTGGTGCCAGTGTGTAACAAGTTTGGGTTGCCCCGCAGTTATGGCGGCTGCTGGTGGAGGAAAAGCTCTCGATGCAACGGCCAGCCGCACAGCCGCTGTATTGCCCGCCTGCAGCCAGCGGCTCTCCGGAGAAGAGATGCCCCGGGCTGCACTTGGGGGCGGGGAGATCCGAAAAGCCAGAGAAAATCGCACTGGAGCGGGGGGGGGGGACTGCAACGGACTCTCACTTTTCAAAGCCCCCCACCGCACAAGAGAGAGGGAGGGAGCGAGGGAGAGAGAAAGAGAAACCCGGGCGTTCGAGCTGAAAAGGCAAGAACCTCCCCCACCCCCCTCCTTCTGTTTCCCCTAAACAGAGATTGTGCCAGACCTGCTGGTACAGAGAAACCGGGTAGTGTTCCCGTCCACGTGTTGCTCCTGTTGTGTTAATCTTTCTGGGAACAGGACACAGAAACACCGACATTACCCAATATCTGTTGCATTAGGGATCTCTGCAAGATAGTTCCCAGTTCTTTAAAGCTATTTTTAGTTACTGAATAATGTATATAACTTCATATGTGGGTATATCTTTAAAATCTTTTAAATCATGTGTGCTTTTTTTGAGAGAGAAAAATTCAATGTGTCTACACCCATAGCAAATGTGGATGCTTGCTTGCTTTCAGGATGCATCCTGAAAGGTTTCCTCATTTAACAAACCTGTTCACATTGTGAGAAAACTAACCACAAGAAGCAGGTGTGGGGATATCTCATTTGGGGTGGCCCCAGGCCTCGGTTCCTGCCAGAGCGCCCACCAGTCAGGAACCCAGAGGGTGGGCACATAAGCCCCGCCCCCTGCTCCCACCAGCCATCAGTTGGGCAACCGTGGGGGGGGAACGTTCCCCTGCCTCCCTGAGCCCCGAGGTGGTGGCCTTGGACTCGTAGGGGCAAATTCCGCCTCTCGCATGTGAAGTCCTAGCGGCATTGCTTTTTTCCCACTATAGAGAACAATGGAGGGAATGGGGGCAACCTGTTTGCGGGCCTGTAGAATTGGACCCCCTGGTTCAATGTTCCTGAAACATGGCGGATATCTTGGGGAGAGGCTCCAGCAGCTACTCTGCGATTTTGGAGCCTCTCCCTCAAACTCCCTCCCCTCCAGCCCCCAGAATATACCCTATGTTTTGCCATTGACTTCAATGGCCCATAGGATATAATGGGGCCGAACTGCGGGAAGCCGATTCAGATCAGAGAATCTGATCCGGCCCGCAGCAGCCTGAAAGGGGCCCAAATGGGCCATTTTCGGGGGTGCATTCAGTTCAGATAATATGTGCAAGATCTGCCTGAGTCGGGAGGATATAGACCAGGGAGAATTGTCTCTGAACAGGAACACCTTTTGAGAACTCACAACTCACTATGGAACTCCAATAATGGACCTCTTTGCATCATCGACCAACCAACAGGTACCAAGATTCCTATCGGGGTACTTCAAGCCCCAAGCAGAGGGCGACAACACTCTCTTTCACCAGCTGCTACTTGGGTACCTATATACCTTCCCTCTGACTTCTCTGATCAGCAGGGTGCTGAGCAAAATACGAAGAGAGAGATGAGGTGATTTTCATTGCACTATTCTGCCCAACATGATCATGGTTTTCAGAACTGGTGAAGAGCTCAGTAGTGGCAGCTTCCTCCCAGGAAGGACCTCCTGAATCAGGGGCCCATCCTACACCCAGATCCGGAATGGATCCAGTTAACAGCATGGAGAAAATTGGATGACTGCCCCAGGCAGACCTAGAGAGCTCGGGCTTCCCAAAAGTAATTGTGGACATTATGGTCCAAGAAAGGAGGCCAGCGACCAGGCATATTTATAAGTATAACTGGTCTGCCTTTAAAATGGGCCATTAAGAAAATGGTAGACCCACTGAAACCATCCCATATGGATGTGATTGCCTTCCTTGAATGAGGGGTGGAAACAGGCCTGGGTAGCATCTCGGCTAATAAATGTCAGACAATTTTTGAAAGGTACTATACAGCTAGCCCCACCTGTGAAAGACGGATTCCTGACCTGGAGTTTATCTAAAGTTTTGCAGGTTCTGACAAAGATGCCTTTTGAGCCATTAAAATCTGTAAAATTAAAGATTCTGTCTTGGAAATTTGCCTTCCTCATTGCAGTTACCTCTGCTAGATGAATTGCAGAGCTGGGGGCCTTATCTTTTAGAAAGGAGTTGTGTGCCTTCACTAAAGATTCTGTGGTTCTAAAAATGGATCTGTCCTTTATACCAAAATTTAACTCAGCCTATCATTTAAATCGGCAGTTGGTCCTTCCTTCGTTCTGCCCCAGACCATCACATCCCAAAGAAAAAGAGTGGCACAAACTAGATGTTTGCAGGGCTCTGCATATATACATTAACAGAACTACATCTCTGACAGATGAGCTTTTTGTGTCACACAGCATGGCAAACCTGGGGGGAAAGGTACCTAAACTGACTATTGCCCTTTTGGTTAAGCTTTGTATTCGCAAGGCATACGAAATCCTGGGTCATAAGGTACCTCAGAACATTACCGCACATTCCACCAGCATCGGTCGCTTTTGCTACCAGAGCTCCAGTTGATGAGATCTGTAGGGCAGCAACCTGATAATCTTTTTCTACTTTTGTAAGGCACTACAGAATTGACCAGCTGAACTCTGCTGAGGCCACGTTTGGGAAGAGAGTCTTTCCACAAGTGTTGGACTGAAAGGATGCTGCAGTTCTCCATCGCTTTACTTAGCTTGGTTACATAACCTGTTTGGATTACTTCCCCCATTGAAGAATGAAACATTGGACTTACCTGAAGGTTTCTTCTCTTCAGTGGGGCAGTCATCCAATTTTCTCCACCACAAAAAAGACAAAGGATTTAAGTGAGGATGATGTCTTTGGAGCTGGGCTATTTGATGACTGGAAGGGCAGCCTCACTTTGTCCCAGGAGAGTCATACAAAATCTGCATAGCCCTGCCTGGAGCGAGAGGAGGTGTAACTTAACCAGTTTGGATGTCTTTGCCTCACTGAAAGGAAAAACCTTCAGGTAAGTTCAATGTTTCATTTATGAAGTATATATCCATTAGGTTGCCAGTTTTTAACAACACTTTCATGTCATCAACATAATGATGATTAACAACTTTGCTTATCTGAGCGGGGTCTTCTGCAGGTTCTTGCCTTGCAAATGGGGAACGTCAACAGCTGCCCATACACCTACATTCTCTGTTGTGGCCTCCGTCTTGTGGAATGCCCTGTCTGAGAAGGTCAGGAAGGTTCCCATGCTTCTGGCTTTCTACAATCTGTGCGTGTGTGTGTGTGTGTGTGTTGTCAAGTCGCTTCCAGTTTATTGCAACCCTATGAATTAATGACTTCCAAAACGTCCTATCATTAACAGCCTTGCTCAGGTCTTGCAAACTGAGGACCGTTGCTTGCTTTATACCGTCAATCAGTCTCATGTTGGGTCTTCTTCTTTTCCTCCTGCCTTCAACTTTTTGTAGCATTATTGTCTTTTCCAGTGACCCTTGTCTTCGCATAATGTGACCAAGATATGATCGCCTCATTTTAGTCATATTAATTTCTAGGGAGAGAACCCACTTATTTGTCTTTTTGGTGATCTGAGGTATCCATAAAACTCTCCTCCAACACCACATTTCAAATTAATCAGCTTTCTTTCTGTCAGCTTTCTTCATTGTCTGACTTTCACACCCATACATAGTAATGGAGAAGAGTGTGACATAAATTAACTTGATCTTAGTCACTAGTGACACACCCTTACACTTAAGAATCTTTTCTAGCTGCTTCATGGCTGCTCTTCCCAGTCTCAATCTCCTTCTGATTTCTTAGGTACGGTTACCCATTTGTTTGATGATGGTGCCAATGAATAGAAAATTTGAACAATTTCAGTTTCTTCATTGTCAGCCTTTAAATTGTGTACTCCCCCAGTTTGATTTTCCACTGTAATCCTGCTTTGGCACTTTCTGCTTTAACCTTCAGCAATAGTCCTTTCAAATCCTTATTATTTTCTGCCAGTAAAGTGGTGTTATTGGCATATCTCAAATTATTAATGTTCTTTCCACCAATTTTTATTCTACCTTCATCTAAATCTAATCCATCTTTCCTTATGATATGTTCTGCATTCAGATTGAAGAGACCGGGAAATAAAATACATCCTTGTATCTTTGCATTACAATCTAAGTAAACCAGAATTATTAAGAAGGTGATAGGGCTATATTATACCAGAATGGTTCAGGAGATGTTTCAAGGAATTGAACAGGTCTGTAGACTTTACTGCTGTGTATAGTATGTCTTATCTGTTGCTGTATACATTATCTCGTTGTCAGTGCATTTTACTGAGAGCCAGTTTGGTGTAGTGGTTAAGAGTGGCAAGACCCTAATCTGGAGAACCACGTTTGACTCCCCACTCCTTCTCCACATGAAGCCAGCTGGGTGACCTTGGGTCAATCAGGGCTCTCTCAGAGCTCCCTCTAACCCACCTACCTCACAGGGTGTCTATTGTGGAGAGAGGAGGGGAAGGTGATTGTAAGCCACTCTGAGACTCCTTCGGGTACTGAAGGGCGGGGTATAAAACCAACTCTTCTTATAATACCATTTACTGCTTGTTTACCATGCTCTGTTTACCGTGTCATGTTTAATACTATGCTTTACTTCTGCTTTGTTTCAGATTTCTGCAATTCCAATCCTATTAAACTCATCATATGTCTCATCCTTTCCCCCCCCCTTTTTTCTTTTTGGCCCCCCGGAGGGGATTTTTTAATTGCATTTTTATAAAGACTACAAACTACAACAGAAATAGGGAAGGAGACTACATTAAGGGATAAAGAAAAGATACCCACTACTATCTAAAAACCCAAGAGAGGAGATCATCTAGTTAGCTTGGCACGCGTTTTCTCTCAATCACGCTAATCCCATTATGAATTGATTCAACTATAGTATTATCTTTTTCATATCTTAACTATCACTGTTAACCCGAAAGACCCCTAAGCATCTAGTATATATATATAAAAAAAATTCAAAGGCACAATTCAGAGTCCTTCAGCCTTCATTTCCCCTTGCCCAGTCTCTTCCACAGTTTATAAGGACTTTTAGGGGCAGCTGCCCCTTTCTCTGATAGAGAGTCCTCTCTGGAAGACCTCGAGTCCAGCTTGCCGCT